GTTTTACTTACAGAAAACTGAGAATTGGCATCTTCAATTTAGAATGCCATATGAAGAACAGAAATTATGTTGACATATATTATTTGATGTTAATTTTACTTAAGTTCATGCATAAATAATTCGCAATAAAAGATGCATGAAACTACAATAAATGATATTTTTAAAATTAAAGAAATTTCAATATTCATAACCTTCTTCATCTGGATACTTAATAAGTTCAAGCGTAGACACAGAAATTTAATGAATTTTAAAACATGTGGCTTCAAATATGCAAATTATATGATAAGACAAAAACTGAAACATTTTATAGACCCAAGAAGTAGATAATTAATAACAATATAGGCAATAAAAGGTAAACCTGAACCTGAATTGTCCAAGCCCCAAGAAACACTTAAATAGGTCGTTGCTTACAGATAAAACGATTGTTTTTCTTACAATCTTCATGCAAAACATACTTCATGCTTGGCTTATACAATATGCAGTTTTGTGGATTTAGGGTTTGAAAGAATGAAAATCTGTAATGAAGAGAGAAATATTAACACATAGGAAAAAGAAATGAAAATGTCTAGGGGTGATGATGTTTTTGATTACTGGTACAACTTTCAGAAGCATTTGAATGAAATATTAACATTTACTCATTCAGTTTTTTAATTTAATTTAATCTGTTTTTCAGATTTCAGAGTACATTGTTGCACAAACCTTAGTTATTCCCTCTATAATAAATACTATTGGGACTAGAGATTTGTTGTTGTTTTTGTTGTTGCTGTCATTGTTAATCATTTTGATGTTTAATAGATTTTAGTTCTATTTTGTTTAAAAATGTATTGATGCATCTAGTCCAGAGAAACAAACCGAAGTATAGAATTCACCAATGTCTTATGTTGAAGATTCTATATTTATGAATGAAAACAAGATTCAGAGTTTACAAATATATAGATGATAAACTCAGAATATTTGAAACATTGGAAGTATGGTGAGAATGTTGGTGCCACCAGAAGAAAGTCATGGCTATTCCACTTTATGTGGACTGCTGGGACCGCTGAATCAGTTAGTGTGTATGTGAGCATGTGTACATGCACAAATATGTTTATGTGTTTGCCCCAAAGCAAAATGAAAAAAAAAAAAAAAAGTCACAAGGTTTTAATGGGCACAAGAACACCACATTTCATGTGATTTGAGCATGAACTTTGATTTTCTAGGTTGGGCTAAAATTGTATTCTATGGCACTCTGTTCTGTAGTCTCATGCCCTAGGTATGTTACTTTTGCTGCAGTACACTTGGACATTACCTACCCTGGTCAGATCTAAGCATAAACTCACTAAGACCAGAAGAGCTACCGGGTTGCCAGAAACTTACAGATCCTGGGAGAGAGTTGAGCCATTTTCCCACAACCAGGTGCCTCGTGTTTCATTATAAGAGAGCCCAAGCCAGTAAAAATGTCCAAAGTTACTAAAACTCTGCAGGGAAACAGATGCAAACAGTTTAACCAAATTTGAATGTATTATGGAAAAACTATACTTTTTAAAAAGTTACTCTCCCAGCAACAGAATCAGCCCATCAATTGCACAAACTGAAATCATTCTCTTCTAATTTAGAAGGTACAGTCCCATGGCTCATATTTCTCGTTTATCAGACCATTCAGATTTGGAGGAAACGTAAGATCTCACTCCTTTAGAGGGGAGAAAAGTATACAAATATAAAAAACAGTATATATGCCATAAGTGAGAGTTCTCATGGAATATGTCTTTCACAAGGAATCAGAAACCGCAGCCTGAAAATCTCTCCAATCCACACTATCCTGAGAGCTAAATCTCATGGATATGACATACTCAGCCTTTATTCAGCTCAGTCTTGTTATACATCTAGGGCGATTTACACTTTTTCTTAGGAAGTGGTAGTTTTTATGATCATACCCTACATACTCTATGTGGTATCCTAGAGACATGACAGAAGCTACACAATTACAAAAGAATTTATAAATTCAATTAAAGGAACAAAACATTACAAAGCTATTAGTTGATTTTTTGAATAAAGTGAGTATACAATGATCTATTACTCAGAATTCACCCAGAAAATTTCTTTCACTCTATCTGGCATATTGGTTTTATTTAAATGTTGGAGGAATTTTATGTGGGCTTTTTAGTGATTGCTTCAAAGTATAGACACCACACAATCATTTGTTCAGACCTGACCATCCACTTACTATCTGATTAAACCCTTGAATCAAAATGTTCAGCATAGTTAGATATTGTGTTTTCCAGAACAAAGAATATATGTAAATACACTGAAGTACGTACAAATTCATCTTTGCTTTCCAGATGAAGCAGATGGGAATTCTGAGAAGCACAGAAATCTCTACTTTCTGTCCAAGTTTTTACTTCATTAGAAAAGAAGTAACAATTGCATCGGTACCCAATCCACTTTTCTGGGCAAGAACAGCAGCCAGAGCCTAAGATTAGGAAAAAAAATAAATAAATAGAAATAGAAATAGAAATAGAAATATATATATATATATATATATATATATATAAAATCAATGACATTGGAGATTGCAAATAGTTTTATTGCTGTTTGCTCACTCAAACATTTTCTGCTTATTTCTCTTTTTTCTCTGAAAATTTGCTTTGAGCATTTACTACATGCCCTGCAGTGTGCTATTTTTAGGACTACAAATGTGAACAAGTCAGACATGACCATTTTCTTCATGGAGATCATGTTCTAGGGATAGAGTGAGACTTACATAATTCCTAATCATTTATCAAGTATATTTAATGATAACTTTGATAAATGTACAAAAGAAATTCTGTATATTAAAAGAGCACATAGCAAGGTATAGGATGAGAGGAAACTTAAAAGACTCTGTTTTGAAGAATTGACTCAAAGCTGAGCTCTGCAGTGCAAGTAGGAGTTAACTAGATCAAAGAGAGGTAATTTAAAGGGAGAAAACATTGTATATTTTCTGAGTCAACAAAGAGTTCCATGCATTGATAAAAATCTGATTTTTTTTAAATGACAATAAGTAAAACAATTAGTTTGAAGTCTGATAATTGTGTTTTGCACAATTACAGTGGTAGTGCCTTCAACATTCCTTTTCTTCAGTGACAAAAGATATGACAGGTGGTGAATACTCAAATTTTTGCCAAATAAATAGTTTGGATATTGTATAAGATGCCATATAAGCACAGAAGGATGAGAGATAATTTGGAGGGTGTTAGGGTAAAACATACTCATTCAGAAATTATACTTTAAGCTGGCTCTTACTATATAAGTAGATTTTATAACTGCAGAAATCTGGGCACTGTATTCTGAGACATAACTACTAACTGAAGTAAAGGGACAGAGATAGGAAAGTATGGGTTATGAACAAATTCTGGCAGGGAGTTAGGATTAACTGTAATATTTACTATAGTTTATGTATAATTTATTGCTTAATGTGCATTCACTGAGGACAAAAATCTATCATCTCAAGCTAATATTATTCCTTTAATGTATAAATGATGTGCACTCAATATAATGTAATCATTCCTACAATAGAGAACAATGGAATGAGACTTTCCTACATTTAAGGAAGTATTATATTATTTGTTTAATATACTATCATCCTCCTCTCTGTGAAAAACAAGAAACTATTTATTTTAATGTTCTACCAGCATGGTGCATTTCCAAAATACAGACCTACCTTTTTGGGGTTCTGTGGTTGGGCCTGGAGAGAATGTTGGCTGAATACTTTGTTTGGTAAATGCTAAAAGAAATTATCAGAAATTTTTGTAATTAAGTACAGGTTTAAGTGTACCTGCGAGATAATAAAATATTACACATTAGTAAAATCCAATGTTTGTTATTAGTCTTATCATATTATTGATTTTTATAAAGATAACTAGAAAAACTTACAATTTTCCAATAAAATCCCCAAAGTTGCAATCAACAAAAGGCACATAACCCCCAAGCTTCCAGAAATCAGCCTCCATGGAGTGGTCTGAAAAACTGTAGAGAAAAAAGAAATAGGGCAAAGACTTAAAGAGCAAACATAAGAGCTGAAGTTCTTAAAAGCAGAAATCAGTGTGAGAAAATCCAGGAATTTCAGAACTCACAGTATGGATGTATAGAGAAATATAGAGTATTTGGGTCTTTTATTTGATAACATAGACATCCTGCCAAGACCCATTGCAAAAGGAAGACATCCCAATTGGAACTCTGCACTCCAACCAATACCAACACTCTCTGTCTCTAGAAGACAGTAAAGTAAATTTAATTTATTTTTCTTTTAATTGAGAAAGAAGCACAGAGATCTGGTGTAAAAAGAGATTAAGAGGCTCCAGCTTCTGTTTCATGTGCTTCCATAACAGGCATTTACTTTTATCCTCTCAAGAAAAAATCACAAGGCTGATAGTTTTGTTCCCAGTGGGTAGATGAGAAAATTGAAAATCCAAGAACAAGATCATTTTTTCAAGGTATCAAAGGTAATAAGTGTGGAGATCAAGCATAAAACCCAATTTTGTCTAAGTCTGGGATCTTTCCTTAATATATTTTACCATTGTCACTGACAATAGTACTATTTGGTAGGATGTCTTTCTGCTAATCTCAATATAGGTTCTACTTTTAGGAATGTTTAGCTGTTCATAGCTGTGTAGAGGTATCATAGGGCAAAAGGATAAGAGCACTTTGGAACTGGGGATGGGAGAGTCCAAACCAGTGCATAGAGTAACTCTCCTGAGCTGAGTTCATTTCCTACAACACTGAACTGTGATATATAAACAAACTCTAAAAAGAAATAAACAAACAAGAACATGATATTCTCCTTTTCTCAAAATTACTTGGTTGTAGGCTTTTTCTAGAAACAATTTGACTTTAGGACATCCTGCATTGACATTAGCATACTCTCAAAGAGTAACGTCAGTGACCATAGTACCATGTTTAAACTGTTATCCTGTGTACGACTTGGGAGTCACAATGCAAATGCTAAATTTCTGTGAAGTACTACGAAACATTATGCCATTCCTATTTGGCATTATCCATCTATACCTATGCTGAATGATGTTGATCATACTATAACCAGGTGAATTCATTTCTCATTCAGAATTTAGATATATCCATATCGGAAGCCACTCTTTTGGAAAAGCTTTCCAGGCTCTTAATAAGTTACAGAAAGATAAATGAAGAAATTAAAATGAAAGCAGGAAGTGCTGACACACGGAAAGCTTTAAAAATCTACTCTCAGTTAGGCCCCTTTCTCTTAAAGCTCTGTCTTAAAATCAGTCATGCTCATGGTTTACCTTTTTTTGGTACTTTTATCTTTTAATTGGCTGACTTGGGGCACACTTACCTGCCATGGGAAGTGATGTCCCCAGGTTGATGCAGGAAGGTTCAACGAGTGCTTGTTGAAGAGAAATGTTGGATCCCAAAGCTGAGCTGGAGGCTAAGGAATCCAAAAGTTGTGCGTGAAGAAATTTAAAAGAAAATTTTCATATTTACACAGTGTTCTTGAATCATCTGTTGGTAAGGCACATGTGCATGGTATGAGCAAGAAGCAGTAAAATCACTAGCTTCTCAAATGTTCCGGATTTCACAAGACAGGAAATGGTCATCATATTTTTGTAATACAATCCTGTTGATTAACAGAAAAGGTGAGAAGGAGTTCTTTTTTTGTTTTGTTTTTAATCTTTGAACATCAAAATATATTTAGAAATATCATAAAAATAGACAAACAAAAGGTGAATTTCCTCTCTGCAATAAATTTCTATGCAGCCTTTTTCTATTTTAATAGTAACAAAAATATGCTTTGCACAAAATGGGATGTTTATGAACATAGGAGTTAACAAATATAAGATATTTTAAACTCTATTTTGTGCAAAGCATATTTTTTTTATAAAGGGAGCTCTGGTAGCATAGTGGCTAAGACACTTGCCTGCTAACCAGACAGCTGGCGGTTCAAACCCACCAGCCACTCCTCGGAAGGAAGGTTGGACAATCCTACTTCCGTAGTGATACTGCCTCGGAAACCCAAGGAGGGGTC